ATGACTGAAAGTTTGTGTTCCCGTGGGTGGTGTAAGTCAAAAAGAAGATACTGGTCTGTGTGAGTAGGCTTCCTATGTATACACTTTAATGTTTAGGCTTCCATCTCCTTCCATGCTGACCAAAAAGTCCAGAAAAGGTAGTTTGTTGTCCTCTGCATCCTCTCTGGTGAATATGATGTTGTTGTCAACAGAGTTGATGTGTCTTGTCAAAGCTTTCACTTCCTTTAGTTGGATTTTGGAATGTCTCTTATTAGGTTACTAATTATGTCAATGGAGTTAAAAAGGGAAAAGATAAAGTAACTGTACCTGTCCGTGAGAAGAACTTGTTTTGTTTGAGAAATCTTTATTTCCTGCTACAAAAAGATATCCGTAATAAGGAGAGCAATGCTGGTTTTCTGGTGCTTCTTATTGGTCAGTTTAAAGTCTCCATTTGAACACAGCTTCTGATTAGATGACTGAGTGGAACAATGTTGGCGAATAATAAATGGGGAAAAACAACAATAAGCACCTCCCAGCTATCTCAGTTTTTCTGTTATTCCTACAAAGCTTTAGCAAAGTCTCGGTTTTACATTTCAAAATGCAATGAGAAAAGTACAATTAAATATAGTTTATGTATATTAAAGGTTCATGAAAATGTTCTGTTATATTTTCTTTTTAGTGTTTCAGTTTTGCTTTACTCCTTGTTTTATAATTTTTATGGTTTAATTCTTAGTTTATTTTGTTCTTTGGGTTTTTCTCAGTTACTGTCTCAGTCTTAGTTCTGTTATATTTTCTTTTTAGTGTTCAGTTTCTCTTTGCTCCTTGTTTTCTACTGTTAGTCGTTTAATTTTTATTTTTGCTGTGTTCTCTGGTTAATTCTTAGTTACTGTCTCAGTCTTGGTTCTGTTATGTTTTCTTTTGAGTGTTTAGTTTTACTTTGCTCTATGTTTTATAGTCTTAGTGGTTTAATTATTATTTTGTTGTGTTTTCTAGTTATTTCCAGTTTTCTAGGCTTTTCATTTGTTGCCCTCTGCTGCCCTCTTGTGTTGTCCTTATTCCCTAGCTCCTGTTTTGTTTCTGCTCTGTGCTCGCCTTTTCCCAATGCACTCATTAGCCCTCTCTTTGTCTCTGTCTCCTTTAAAAGCCCTCTCTCTTCAGTTCCTCTTTGCTGGGTCCTCATCTATCTTTTTCAAACTTCTTCCAACTCCGTCTCTCTGAGCCTTCCTCCTTGTGTTAGTGATTTCCCTGATGTCTCCATGGTTTCTGGTCTGTTTTTTTATATATTTTCATGTTTTGATTTTTGGACTCCTGGTTTCTTGTTTGTTTGAACTTCGTTTTCTTTTTGGATTTTTGGACTCCTGGTTTCTTGTTTGGACTTAGTTTTCTTTTTGGATTTTGTATTCCTGGTTGCCTGATTGTTTGGACTTTGTTTCATTTTTGGATTACCTGCCTCTGTGTTTTAGTAACTATCATTAAATCCATAAGAAATTCACTTCTGCCTCCCTGCCTCTGCTTTTGGGTCAACAATCCATAATCAAATCGTGACAGGAATACAGACCAAATATTCATTGATGAATGTTTAAACAAATATAAATTTTCCCTTCCTCTTTGGACATATTAGTTTAGTTTAGTTTAGAGTTTGAAACTGAAACATGTTTGACTTGGAGCTGAATAATATTGGATAATAAACTCTTACTGTACCATACCATACCAACTTTATTTATGAAGCACTTTATGCACCGGACATGACCAAAGTGCTGTACACAATCATAAAATACAATAAAATTATAAAATAGAGAAAAAACAAGCGTAAAATACATATTAGTATACAAAAAGAATAAAGCAAAGTAAAACCTCTCAAATTGTGCCAAAAGCCAAGGAAAAAAGATAAGTCTTAAGAAGGGACTTAAAAACAGCAAGAGAAGAGGCCTGTCTCTTAGATTTTGAACAGATCTTGTGGTGAATTTATTCAATGTATGTGCAGAATTAACTGTTTGAACATGATTAGTGCTCGAATCATTCTTTCATTTATTGTTCTAACCAAGGGCAAAGGCTTGATCCCTACTTTTGTAGGGACACTATTGGTCTTAGGTTGAATTAGTCTGATGTCACTGGTCCTACGCATTATGCATTCTCCTATTTTTTTTTTTAATGCTTGATGTGAGCATCAGGGCGCATTTCGTTTAAAGAGAAAACAGCATTTTTTGCTACATTTATACAAATTTTATAAGCACTACACACACAAGATGTTGTTTATCGGTGGAATATATATTTTTCCCACAGTTTAAAAAGAAACTGCCAGAACAATTTTATGATGTAGGCATTTATTGGTTTCAATGATAAATACAAAGTATAAACACAACATTTTCAACACTTCTTAATCCCCTTCCCTATATGTATTTATTGATTGAAAGCAGTATTAAAAGCAGCTTATGAAGTTAGATTTGTTCTGTAGAAAAAAATAAGTTTTATAAAGCAGACAGTGATAAGACAGTTTTGAAAACATTCCAGCTTTAAGCCATTTACCCCATTGTTTCATTCAACAAACTGCTCTGCATTGTTAATTTCTTTATCTGTTAATCAATAGTGGTTGTTGCTTTTGTCCATGTCAGTAGCTTAATTCACTTTGTATTTGGGTCTGGATTATTTACACTGCTTACTAGGCTTTTAGCTAGGAATATTTCATAGGTTGTAGGCAGTGGCGGCTGGTGAAAAATATTTTTGGTGGGGCTGATATAGCCTAGTGTATGTCTCCAACTAATCCGGAATAAGAATTCGATTAAACAATTGGACAATACATACAATTTAACAGTAATGATTTAATTTACTATATAATAACAGTAACAGTGATGATTTTGGTCACTGTGACGGGGTTCTTTGGCCTCCAAGAATCCAGGCTCAGTCGGGTTACCGGTGTTGGTGATTTATTGAGCTCAAAAAATCAAAACAGGGTGCAAAAGAAACTAAACATATACCAGATACTCTGGGCCTCAGCCTCCCTCCAGTTACCAGCAATGTAACAAAGAAACAGACAACAAAAATTGCCGCTTTTCTTCCCACAGCCCTCATTAAATAGTTAAAGCCCCTCACCTCAGGCTCTCTTATTTCTGATTTCTTCTCATTAATCAGTTTTGTCCATATATTACCTCCACAAACAATTGATTTACAAAAACAAATAATTTTTACAACTTAATTCTTTTACACAGATTCATTGACTTATTCAATTACACCAAACTGGATTTGAACCCAGCAAAGATGCAGCCAGACTGAAGATGACAAGTCCCCATAGCATAAACACTTACACACACACACACACACACACACACACACACACACACACACACACACACACACACACACACACACACACACACACACACACACACGGCTAACCCCACTGAAATATTAAGTGTGCACCCTCAATATGCCAGAAGGTAACCAGGAACAGCTTGTGTGTTTTAAGTTCATGGAGCTACTGGTCTCAGCGCGAGTGTATTGGTCCTCACAAACACAGTATAACAGGAATGTGTGTGTGGCGCGCAAAGTTAGAGAGGTAGTTTTAAGCGACGAGGTGGATTCGTCACAGTCACAATAACCATGACATGTAATGTTCATATCCTACAACAGGGATGTTCTTCTGGCAAACGGGTAGATAAATAAGGATCTCACCGAATTTGGTGGAAGCTGTATCTCGCTCGTTACATTCGCCATCGTCCCTCTCATTGTCTGCACCTGCGCTTGGGTTCAGAAGCCTGTTAAAGTGCAGTATTTTCAGAGCCCCAAGACCATAAAGTTCCGAGACGCTGATTGGCCATTAAATTCACCTAGCAAAAGTACATGATTGACAGATTCTCTGCAAATGTGGGGCTGTCTGATAGGCGCCCCCAGAACAGAGACGGTAGGAGTCTGTCTGTGGAAATCCACAAATTAATGACAGTAGGTAGGGAAATGTAGTTTATATAATTTGTTTTGCTTATAGGTACACAGTCTAGAGAGTAAAACTGACATTTATGATTTAATTTCTAAAAATATATTTTACGTTTCTCTCTTCTTATCAGGGAGGGCGGTGCCCCAGCGCCCCCTATGGGTCGGCCGCCACTGGTTGTAGGTACAACTTGGTGTATCACATCTGTAGCGTCTGCGCTGCGCAGGGGGGGTCTAGGGGGAAACCAACGCCAGAAAATTCTGAAATGTAGACGCTATTTCTGCATTTTGAGGAGGAATGCAGCTCACTTTTTGTCCTTTCACAACACTGCTTTTGTCATAATTTTGGGAAGTATGTGAGCTTGACTAGAGGCGGAAAACTAGGAGTGGTTTTTGATTCTTGTACACATTAAGGTTAGACACGCCTAAAGAGGATCTTTGATGCTCCTGAAGCGCGTCCAGTAAAGTGTGTACAGATTCATCTGGTGTTTCTGCTGCTCCTGTGTTCAATGGCAGAGTGGCTTTGCTATACAGTATTTGCTGTGATCAGCTGCCTCAGGTCATGTCGCCTCTTTTTTTAGTTTTGATTTTTTTTTAAGCGAGAAAGTCCATCTCAAAACATTGTCTTTGCAGTCAGTTCATCAAGATTACGATCCTGCCTTAAAAGATTATTACGCTGTCTGAGGCTCTCTGATCCTCACATATCAACAGTGCGCTGTCACTGGGAATCCCCAGCAGCAGCTGCTTCAGGCCATGTCGCCTCTTAGGGTTTTTTTTTCGGCGACTGAAAGTAGACATATTTTGCTGGCAGGTTTAGATATTTTAAGTTAATTTAGGCATTAATAAACGGTTTCAGGGGAGTAATCATATCAATCTCTATCACCAGCGCTGTCCATCTCCCTGCCAGCTCCTAGATAAACTTCTCTGATTGGTTGATGTGGTGTGTCAAAAAACAAAAATTCAAGTTCTCCAACTCAGGATCCGCTGCTTGTGAAATTTTGAACATTTAAGCAAAGTTTCCAGCGGGAAAATTAGGGCGTACCAAAGCTGTACATATAAAAAACAGGGTTTAAAATTAGTCTTTTTTTATTAAAAGGGCGTACAATATACTCCCATATTCATTGCTAGCTAAAAGCCTGCCCCTTATAGATAACCAGAAATAAAGACACTCAAACATAATGCTCTTTTAAACGTAAAAGTCACAAGTCTTTTTCCACCGTAGACTTCATTGTTTGAATTAGTCCATGTTGAGCTTGAATTGAATATCAATTTATGTGATAAACTGATAGAGGTAATTTACAAATCCACTTTCAAGCATCGCTTTAAGCAATAGTGTTCCTCTTCATGGAGTTTGTTAATAACGCTCTGAAAGTTTACTTCTTGCTTTTCAGCAGGATTGGGTAAACTTGGAATTGTTGTACCTAACAGAGGTCTTTTTTTTATTTTCCAGGCCAAGGAACTGATGGCGAGATGGAGCGGGGGACCTCCTAATTATATATATGTTGTATGAAATTGTCTTATATCAAACTGGTCCTATAGTCAATCCATTTAAGATGGAGTCATGTAACGAAAGTAATTTTGCCTTGGGATTATTAAAGTATTTCTAATTCTGATTCCTCGTTGATGGGACAGGTGTTGTGAATGAGATGGTGCTCAGCTTGAAAGAGCTTGTGTGTGTCACAGAATGTGTGCATTGATGACTGAAAGACATCTTCTGCCTCCATTTATCTGTTTACTACAGTGTGTTGAATTCATGTTAGTGTGTATTTAAAGACATTTTAATTAGTTAAAAAATTGCAGGGGGAATCTAAAACGAAAAGTCGAATCAACCAAAATTATTGCGACCGCCATGCAGTGCCTCCATGGACCACCTAGAGGTCGGGGGCCCCCTGCCAAAGACCGCCGCCGTAGAAGACGTTCATTTCACTATACTGTTGGTGATGAAACCCCGATGCACTACCTTCAAGGTCCACACAGGGGTAACAGACTCCCTGTTGAAAACCTCCGCCTTAGAGGGCTTTCCTTTTACTATACTGTTGGTGATGTTCTGATTTGATGCTGTAGGATCCACTCTGACTGAAGATTTTGCATCCAAGGACCACCCAGGGGTTGCGGACACCTTGTTGAAGACATAATGTTCCTCTCTATGGAGTTTGTTATAATGGCTTTGAAAGTTTATTTCTTGCTTTTCAGCAGGATTGGGTAAACTGGAAATTGTTATACCTTGGAAGACTTTTCTTCCACTGTACTGTTGGTGATGTTCTGATTTGATGCTGTAGGATCCACTCTTTCTTTAGATCTGGACCTGTATTGCGACCTTGGTCGTGAGAATGGTTTCTTTTCGTGACTCTCTGCAAATAACTTCCTTTTTGCCTCCTTCCTCTTTTCCATTAACTTTTTGATACGTTTGAAGATGAGGTAGATCATCTCGCAGATACACATGAAGATACAGACAGCAGAGGACACCACCATGAAGAGGGTGAAGATCTTTTTCTCTGTGGGTCGGGATATGTAGCAATCCACTGTATTAGGACAGGGGAGTAGGGAGCACTTGGACAAGCGTGGCATGTCATAACCCTCGTAGATGTAGTACAGGACGTAGAGGAAGCCAGCATCAAAGCCAGCCTTGAAGATAAGGCTCAGCTGCAAAATGGAATGGGTTTATGTCAAAACTGGCAAAGAAGATTCAAAATATGACTGTTACTTTTAGTGCATGAAGGTTTTACATATTTTCCAATAACTTTTAACCCAAATTTTAGCCCTTTTCAAAGCGAAATAAAAGTAAACTAATCCTTGAAAATCCATAATACTTACCAGGTATGTCCACCAAAGCCCTCCACGTTTCTTTCCAGGGTGGGCGTACATGTGTTCCCCTTTGTGTTGGATACTGTACTTTAAATCCTTCATCTCCCTGTATCTGATATGACCTTTGACCATGAACGATGGGCATGTGACAAAAATAAGCTGCAGGGCCCAGAGGCGGATTTGTGATATGGGGAAAAAGTGGTCATAACAAACATTGGTACAGCCTGGCTGGTTAGTGTTGCAGACAAAGTCTTTGCTTTCATCCCCCCACACACGCTGAGCCGCTACCACAAACACCATGACCCGGAAGATAAACACCATAGAGAGCCAGACCCGGCCAAAGGCAGTGGAGTATTTGCTAACTCCGCCGAGGAGCAACTGCAGAGCACCCCAGTTCATGATTTCCCACTTATGTCTGTGATTGAACAGAATGAGTCCAAAGAGAAGCTGAAGATCATCAATAGATGTGCTCGACAAAAGTCTTGATGATTTCTGCCTAAGAAAAGGGAAAACAAAAGTTAATCAAAGAGTAAAGGTTTAGAAAGGTAAGGTTACAAAGAAAGTAATTAAAATTTTGCCAGACAGGTTTGACAAAGACTTTACGGACAATGATGATCTGCTAAACCGGATGAAGGCATATTTATGTCGTGTCTCAGTAGATTTAATGTCTTTATATTGCATGTTTAACCCAAAATATAGAGGTAATTTATGTTTATCAAGACCATCTTTTTTGATTATAATGGATCCTGGTTATTTTCTCGACTTGACATTTTTACACAAACCTAATTGGACCTGCACCTGCCAGGAACCCAAGCACACTCCCAAATATTCAATTATTCATACACACAGATTGGTGGACTACTCATGACAAAGTGCTTTTACTAAGGACAAATAAACATGTGCTATGGCAGCCATTAATTTCTGATTGTAACACCAATGGCCATTTTCCATTCAGCTGCTCACTGTAGTTGAACAAAAATGTTATTTTGTTTTACAGATTTAGTCATTTGAATTTTCAAGTACTGTGTCACAAAAGTAAGAAAATTATACATTTATTTATCTAGAAAAACAGTGTGTTTCATATGCTCAGGTTGAAGGTCAGGAGCACTGTAGAAATGGAATGATAAAGTTATGGTGTTAAAACTTCTGCTGGGCGGAAAATCTTCAAGTTGCTGTTTATTTTTGCACCATTCGTCCTTCAGTCGATCTCACTCTGGTTCCCTGTTCCCACTCAAAAGGCAATGGCCACAATATAATGCTGCCACAGAAAAGTAAAGCTGTTATAGTGTGTTCTGGGGAATGTACTGTCTGCCTCTCACCCAATGAACACTGGAGATAGGCAGATGCCCCACAACTCTTCAATAAGAGGGTATATTGAATTCAATTAAATTCAGTTCATTTATATAGCTCCAGGTCAAAACACATGTCATCTAAAGGCACTTAACAGAGACAATTCTACCAGATCATACAGTCAAACTTATTCAGTTTTCTATCTAAGAAAAACCAGTTGATTGCATCGAATGTAATTTTGAGTGAGAAAATTAATAGATGGAGAGAAACAATGTCAACTTTTTGCCCCTTGTGATTCATCAATACTGTTCTAAAATTACAGAGTTTGTCTCTTCAAACCACAGAACCTTCTTCTTAATACCAGCTATCTCCCTTAAATAGCTTTCGGTAAACAGATTATGGGCATTCAAGAGGGTTTCCTTCAGAAATGGCTTTCCTCTCACTTCTATTAATGAACACCAATTTTGTAAATTGCTCAACTAATAGCTGTCATGTAAACAGATTGAGCTGTGGATTTCTCCATGGTTACCATGCTCCTCCTGGCTGACAAAAAATAAAACTAAAAAATATAAAAAATGATACCTGGAGTTTTTTTTTACTTAATAAAAAAAAATAGCAATCACAAAAGAGTGATTGTATTGTATTGTACCGACACCCCTAATGTAAAAGATTTAACATGTGAAAAATGAACATAACGGTGTTTGAAGCATCTTTACATAAGCACTAAGTTGATTTTACACAAACAAAAAAGCCACAGCTTTCCCCCTGATGTTATGTTAACAGTCCTATATAAAATACAGAGGCACTTCTGCGATGGTGATTAGCTGTGTGGAATCCAAACAGCCAGAAAATAGTTTCACAAATGTATTCCAAGTTTCAAGAATATTTTACATTCAGTCTTTAGGGAGTAAAAAAAAAAAAAAAAAACTAACAATACACTTCAGTGGGTGACTCCTCATCAGAGCCTCCCACTGTAAAAAGGACAAATGAGTCTTATTCAGTCTATTAGCTTTATTTATTTTTATGTATTTTTTATTCATTTATATTTTTTCTTTTTTTTCTTTTAATCTATTAGCTCAAAATGTTTGAACAGTGTTTTAAAACAACGTTGCCTAACAGGAAGCTGCAGTCATCAATGTAATTACTATCAGAATCTGACTCTTTGTGTTGTGATCTGATTGATCTATTTCTGGACAATAAAAGAGCCCCTCATTAATTCCATTTTTATTTCGGTTTGATTGTCCACATACTTTAAAGATGTATATTGTATTTCATTCAAAAGTAGAAGCTTCATTTTGATACACAAGTGCAGCCATAAAATATGGTTTTGCCTTTAAAATCGCCAGATCGCCACACAGAGCACACACATCACTCCTTCCTATCACTCTGCCATGAATTTAAAAACCGCCTGCTAAACAACAGCAGTTAATATATAACCATGGTGCATCTCTTACAGGAAGAATCCATTGAATGTAGCATATCAGGTATTCTAGGTCATAAGTGAGCACTCGAGCACAGTGTCAATTTCCTTCAAGCACATTTCTTTCTCATTTCCAGGTGTAGATTACTTTTACGTCTTGTAGAAGAACCATTCAAAATGAAGCAGAGCTTAATTATCTGTACTTTTTTAGGGCCTTTTCCCTGAACTTCTTGGTTTTTTCAGAGTTCAGTCAAACAATGGCAAAGTTCAGCAACCAATTTAAACCGCATCTAATTTCTTAAGAGTCAGATTTATATGTAAAAGATAAAAAAAATATAGGAAGCTTACCTTATATAAGGAGTGTGAGGTTTCAAAACACAGATATCCAGCCCAGTTCAACAGAAAGAGTTGTGTGTCAACTCTCCTGTCATAGATGGGAAATAACTCTTTAATCACATGTATGTTTTTAAGGTGAAGACCTGTTAGACGAGTTGAAGATGGGTGGAGCATTTAAGAACAAGTAACAGAAACGAAAGTAAAAAAAAAACAGGTATGCTTTCAGGGTAAAAACAACTTGATTGGTTTTTCCCATTGTGATGCAAAACAAATGCAAACCTAAATGCATTTTACTGAATTTCAGATGACAAACCACTTAGCGAATGTGAATTTGTAAAGTTTATACTCAGTAAATATTCACAAACGTGTGACGCTTCTATTTGGCTAAAGCAAAGTGATACAAAAGCTAGAGACTTGAGATATTTTGAATCACCGTATTTTCACGACCATGTGCCATTACTGTATTTAACACACACAAATCAGACATGCCAATTTCCCCTTCTTCGCTGTCAGAGTCGCTGTCCTTCCCGGCGGCTCCTCGGAAATGATGCCGGCTTTTGCGAAAGCTCGAACAACAGTGCCAGCAGACACCTTAGCCCAAGCATCTACAATCCATCCCCAAACTGTGGTTTAACTTGCCTGGCGCTCCCGGAATAACAGCAAGCACACCGTTCATTTGTTTCACCTTTTTTTTTCACATCGGCTGTGAGATGGGCACGCATGGAGTCACAGATTAACAGCAATGGTGATGTGTGGAAAAAAAACACCTTTTCATTTGCCTTAATAACGACTCCAGCTGGAAAAGTCTCTTTAGGCAAAGTCTTTCTCTTAAAAATCACCATAGGCGGCAGTTTCTGTCCATTTGCGTGGCAGCCAAGCACAACAGTAAACAATGCCTTTTCATACCCCGTTGTGTGTATCGCTACCGTGCTGGTCCCCTTCTTTTCCACCGTGTGATTCGCGGCACCTCGTCCATGTTGGTGATGTGGCTTGGCTGAATGCGTTTGTTGGCGATGTGTTTGCTGCAGCAGGAGTGGAAGCTCGCCAGCTTTTCATTATAATCCGCCGGACGTTGCTGAGCTACTGTAGTCCTGGTCCGGATGGAAAAATTGCACCGTTTCATAAAACAAAAGCACCACGACGGACCTCCTTGGAAATGTTAAATTTTCATTTCCTCCGCTCGATTTCCATGATAGCCTTCAGTTTAAACTGTGCTTTATAGGCATGTCTCTTTGCCATTTTCAGGGTTGTTAAGACAACAATGTTCTGCATAAAGTACATACCTGTTCTTTTATACACAATCCACGCCCAGAATTCCCCCTTTAACGTTCTCATGGCGGTCTCAACAACGTCCGCAGTAACACATAGGGCGCACCGCACTATAGGGGCACCGCACATTTTGAGGAAAAAAAGACGTTTATACGTGCCTTATAGGCGTGAAAATACGGTATGCCATTTCCACCAAGCTTTTCTGAAGCAATACTTCAAAATGGAAATTAAAAAAATGGAAACACACCTAAAATCCATACTACACCATACATAGCAAGATTAACTGAGAGAAGCAGCTAATAGGTTTAATCCAGAGTGGGTGCCAAAGTTTACAACTCAGGTAAGTTAATCTGTCAGTCACATTAGCAGTTGAGGAACACTCGCAGGTGACATTTTGCAGTATTTAACAGGAAACCATCATGCACATACAGTAGCAACAGATGGCAGCAAAATCAGCCTTTGGGTTTTCTTCTATTCAGCAGGCAGAGATGGGAAGTACAAATACTTCGTTACTATACTCAAGTAGATTTTTCTGATATTTTTACTTTACTTTACTACTTATTTTTATGGCGACTTTTTACTTCTACTCCTTACATTTTTACACAAATATATGTACTTTCTACTCCTTACATTTTAAAAAATTGGCTCATTACTTTAGTTTTGAATCATTTCAATGGAGTTACCATTATTATTTTTCACGTCATCAATACCAAATTCAATATAATTGGATGGGAATCTACGTTGCAATTGACGCACCACTACAAGATGAATCGACAGATTCGGCGGTATTCATTCGCGGCAAATCATTGCAGCTTGGTGGCGGTGGCGTTAGCATAGTAGTATGGACGACGAGGTGACTGAAAATGAACACAACGGAGATCTAGTCCTATTGGCAGACATCCATTTAAAATTTAGGCAACGGCATGAAAAAAGTGGTTTCTACTTTTACTTTTATACTTTAAGTAAATTTACAAGCCTGCACTTTGTTACTTTTACTTGAGTAAAGAAGTTTAATCAGTACTTCCACTTTTACCAGAGTATTTTTTAACACAAGTATCTGTACTTTTACTCAAGTACGGAAAGTGAGTACTTTTGCCATCTCTGTCAGCAGGCGCAAGGAGGCAATTCAGAGTTAGTGGGAATATGGGGCTAAATTTATAAAAATCCGGGAAGTGACCTTTGCAGAGGCTATAAAGGATTCAAGAATGGTGCTGAGACTTACATTTCACTCAGGAAAAACTATTACACACAGCAAAAATTAGACTTGTTCAGTGTAGGTTTAGGATTGCAAAACAAAAATAAATCTTATTAAGAGTGATTTGCAACTTTTACAACAATTCAAAGATGTTCTCCGGACCTGCTTGATGCCACATTCGTTATCATGGTTTTTAGCACCTTTACTTTGCAACAAGAAGGTTCTGGATTTGAATTATAGCCTGGGACCTGCTGCAGTAAGTTTGCATGTGCGCCCAATCTGTGCATGGGTTCTTCTGTTGTTTTACTGTTTCTTCCCTCATTCTAAAACCGTAACTGTTAGGTTAATTAGTGTGTGTGTGTGTGTGTGTGTGTGTGTGTGTGTGTGTGTGGGTGTGACCCTGGGATAAGCTGGCATCAGGCTCCTCTGCTGTGGAACCAACTACCAGTTTTAGTCCCCGAGGCACAAATCCTGTCTTCTTTTAAGGGTTGGCTTAAAATTTCCTTTTTGATAAAGCTTATATTTAGAGTGGCTCAGGCTATCCTGAGCTTTCTCTATAGTTATGCTGATATGGGCTTGGATTGCTGGAGGACAAAGGGACCCCTTTTTCATCATTCTGCTTCTTTCTATCTCTATTCTCCCAAGCTGAAGAATTTGTTAGTACAGTTTCTAATGCTTTGCTCTCTCTGCTGCTATCAATACCTTTGCATACAGATGTTTGAGCTCTGTCTGTTTTTCACAGTAGTTCTGTTTCTCTTAGTGCGCCTGCCTGGATGTGCTCTTCTTCATCCTCTGACGTTGGAGCTGGCTCAGAGCTTGTCTGCTGTTAAGGAAGAAAATATTCTAACATAGTTAACTTTGGAAAAAGGTTGGCTTTTGATTCTTCCCTTTCCAGGTCCACCCGGCGAGCTGCGTGTGGTCTCTATGAAAACCAGCATTGCGAGTTGACATCACAGAATTACAGAGTTTAATCCAATATAAGACAATGCATACACTTAGAAATAAGACAATGTACAAACCTACACCAGAAACTGCAGAACAACAGAGACATACATTCCATTACCTGACATAGGAGAAAGCAAAGACGTACAAGACATCTTTGGAGAGTTTGCAAGGGCAAAATCTGATTTGTTAGTTCTATGTAGAAAGCTTTATCCTCTTGTATTTAATTTATTCACATGAGGCTGGCCCTTGGTCCTCCAACCAGAAGCTATCTCTGACACTGCCTAGCGCTTCACCTAATCTACTGCAAACATCTGGGGTCATTTGCTTCTTTGTTTTAACAAGAAAAGGCGGAAAGCTTGTCCTGGCATCTAGAATTCTTAAAGTCATAAAACACAAGATAAGCTTCCACAGAATTGATGTGGAATGCGGGGGCCTTTTTCCTGATTCAGTTTCACACCATCCCTGGTTGTTTATTCTGGAAGACTTTTGACCTTCTGTAAACCAAGCAGAAATCTCTCCTGCAGGCTTAACTGTTATTCACCCCCCAGGAGATACTCATTCTATGGCCTGGTGCTCTAAATACTTACCCATTAGTAGTTTTAAATCATTAACACAGCCTTGTTCAAAATTAAGAAATATGTTCAAGTGAGAGTGTTTACACATGCCATAAGATTAACTGTATTAAAAGCTAAAAATAATCATTTTTCTTTAACAGTCCCCGTTTTGAGGTCTGAGACACACAGACCTCACAAATAAATTGATTAAGCCTTCTAATAGAGGAACCAAAAAACTATTTAGTATACTAAAAAACTAAAACATTAGCCCAATTTTATAACAGTCCCCTTTTTAAACAGCACCTCCTAGTTCCACTGCCAGGTCATGTGTCTGAAGCTGAACTCCATTATCTAAACTTATCAAATGTATCTTGCGCTGTCCAACAATTTAATACTCACCTGATGAACCACAAAATTTTAACCAGTAAAAACTAAAACCAAAAATACATTTCACTTATCAAATATGAAAAATCATAAAACTCAGTTATGTCAATAGAAGAAAACACACAATAGAAATACCAGCCCAAGTATAAAATTAGAAAACCAGAGTAAGATATCTCGAAATTACTAAAAAATGCTCAGCAGACTTAAAAGACAATACTCGCCACAAAAATTACAATTTGTCAATACAAAACAATAACAACATAAAAAAAATACATCATAAACACATAAAAATTACAAAAGACCTTTTTTTTTTTCTTTTTTCTTTTTTTCACAATTCAACAATAAGAAGTTAGAGTTCGTCTCTTTGCTCCTTCGATAGTCTTTCAAAAATGAATATGAATTCTTCGTCAGGAAACGATCCAAAAATACGCGCAAAAAGAAACGAATGTTCTTGAAGAGTTCGCAAAAAACGAAAACACGCAATAAAAAGAAGATAAGTTAATGATGATCTTGTAGCCTGATCCTTCACGTGTTCCTCCTCAGTTATAAACCTCAGGTTTTCACCTGAGTGTCCGTTGCTCACTGAAAATTGGAGTCTTGTGCCAATATAACAGTGAGTTTAAGGAGAGGTTGCAATCTCCTTTTCTCAATGGAAGGACACTGGAACAGGATTATTGTGCCTATCCGGGCCTTTTAAGCCTTGTAATTCAGGAAAATGAAGTGGTTTCGGCAGACTTCTGCCCGGAAATGCAGATC